CGGGGAGCCCCGCACCTCTGCCGCCCGCTGCCCCGCGCCGGCTGCCAGCCCGTGCCAGGGGGCAGGGAAGGCTGCAGGCGCAGGAGGTGGTGGGCAGGCAGCGGGTGCAGCTCTTGAGTGTGGGAAGCAAAGGGAATTGAGGTAACAGCAGTCCTGCCAGGCCCCAGCCCCATCTCCGCTCCTGTGCCTAGACTTGGGTGCCAGCTCTGGGCCGCCTTTGTAGCCCGAGACGCTCGGCTGCCCAGATCTGCAGTCGAATGGTTGTGAAGCTTCCAGGGGGCAGGGGTCTGCGAGGGCACAAGGGTGCAGCTGTGGGGAGCTGACTCCCTGCAGGACAAGGTCAAACTGTGAACTCCAGCTCTGCTCCCTCCTCCATACCTGGGATGCTCACCCACGTGGTCTCAGGCAGGCAAACGTACATACCTTTCATCTAGGAAGTTGCCTGCTGTGAGCAGTGCAAAGTGGGACTAAAGTGCTCTTATTTCCCTTTGACCTCACTGCACCTGGAGCACTTGGCATCCCTGAGACTCGTCCACCAGGACCTTTTTCCTCCCAGTATCTGCAGCTTTTGTCCCTATATCACAGCACTCTATTCCACAGGGTGAGAATACGATGAGAAAACTGTAGGAGCTAAGTGCTTGGAAGTTAGGAAATTGCAACATCAGTGCTGCACCCACAGGTTTACCTCTGGCCTACTGGAAACCTGTGTAACTGTACAGCTGTCTGAGTACAGGTTCACACTACTCAAACAGCAAGTGGTCAAAAGCATGCAGTATTCCACTTTTACAGTTGTTCTGCTGTGGGATAAAGCCGAATTGACACGTAGCTATCCGTTAAGGTTACTGTAGAAGTTGCTCAGAGAGAACCTCCCAATTAAAGGTAGATTTCTGGTTACTGGATCTGACTTTTCTTCTAGTTTGTATAATCCAGATAACTTTGTTACATCCTGCATATGCAGTTTATCCTCTGCACATCCTCCTTCCCCCCCCATACATGCTATATACTAATCTATAGTCTTGCAATGCAGTCTGTTCTTCTGCTAATCAGATTTTGTGGGACAAGCTACACTTTCATGGGTGGATATACAAGCTAGGACACCTGCTGTCCCCTGCGATGTGATGTCTGCAAGGAGCTTACAAACCTTTCCCTGGTGTGGGACATGACTTCCTAGATGAAACATCTGGAGGAAATTCTGCTCGTGACCATCTACTTTCTTCTCTATCTCCTTATTTGCAACTTCAGAACATCCCTATGGCAAATACATGTTTAAAAAAAGTAAACTTGGAGAACACATATAGGAATAGTGGTCTTTTTAATGGTATGTAGTGGCTGCAAACAGGGAAGAGGCGCTATTATGATCAGCCATCCTTCCACAAGCTACCAGTGGTTCTCCAAGCAGAGTTTGGGAACAACTGGTCTATGTGTTTCTATTCTTTCACTGTCATTCACTGATATAATCTAGGTAACTTTTAGCTCTGATTGTTCTTCAGGTTGGATTTTTCTTTCTCTCTGCAGCCTGCAAAAATGGGATGACAGTCTGAGCTACAGCAGATGTTGAGCCCACCTATAATAATGAGGGTCCCTCTCTACAAGCTGCTGTGCCCCTCCTTGGCAGTGTCAAATGCTCTTGACAGCCACTGAAATCAACAGGTGTTAAGGCTACAGAGGCCTCTCTAAGGGTTGGCTACATAATTTTCCCTTTAGGGTCTAATCCCAAGCCCACAGGCATTGATGGAAAGGTCTGTAATAATCCTTTGTGCTCCTACAGACCTCTTCATTCAAGAACTTTGAAAGGCACCGTAGAACTGATGAACTCAGCTTTCTACCACCATTGTCACACCAGAAACATGTGCTTGACATATGAACATCTTCTGTTATCATTGGCTGCCATCCTGCAGGCAGAAGCAAATCTTTGATCAGTTTGACAGGATTCTTGTTATCAACAATTGATTAGTTCTCAATTTCATCTATCAGATACACCCACCTAGCTTCCATTTTCCCTGGTGCAGAGGGGTTGTCTTGGATATCACCTATTTCCCTTGAAGCTTCTTTAAATAGGCCCCAGCGTTTCACTGTGACAGGCTGCTCCCAAAAGATTCTGCATTTGTGCCCTTTTTATTTTCTCTTCTTTATGGTGTAAAAACAAAAGCCTGAAAGTTCTTAATATTTCTTCAGAAACATCAGGCAGATCTGTTTGCATCTACCTGGCTTTTGTGGAGGCCTCCTTGAATAAAACATGGGTCAGAGTGTTCTTCAGCTCTTCACTGAAAAGGCTGGAAGGATTGAGCAGAGTTTAAAACTAGAAACAGAAGTGTAACTACCCTGAGCAAAAATTATTTCTCCTCTATAACCTGGGGCAGATTACCTTAATGTTTTCAATGTCACAATCTTACTGTATCTCTGGCCCATCCACAGGATGCCTTGTCCGTGCTGAGTGATTGTAATTCTAAACTGAAAAGTGTGCAGGGGGAGAAATAATTTTAAAAGAACCCATGAGCACTTCGGAGCTTCCTGGCTATCTTTCTCCACCCTCAAGAAATGCTCACATATTAAACAATATGGCTGTTAAACATTGACTGTCTTTTCGAACTGCAAGTAACTTATTTGCCCTCCATTTAACTTTGCTAAAGGCTATATGATGCATCATTTCCTCTTGATATTTGGCTTGTCTTCCTCATTTTATGACACCCGCTCAGATGGGATTGGTTAGGTTTTTCTCCTATCAAGGGAAGAGAGGGATTCCCAAGTAGACCCTAGATAAACCAGCAGGGCATTGTAAAACTTCTTCAGACAGGTTCAGTAGGGGTTATTGGGAAGGACAGTTGCAGGGCAGGGTCTTCACATCTGTAATAAGGTGTTGGTTTTTTGTCACTGGACTCTCCAGCATTTGTAGTTACTGGAATTGGTTGAAAATAGGGATTTCTGTTCCATAAGAAATCCTGGTATTTCAAAATCTGCTTTTGCCCTGGGTTGAGATGACTGGTGATACTACTGAGATGCTCCATGGACTAGTGTGTGTGGAAATCTTGCACTGGGAAGTTCTGTTTCAGCACTTCTTTTTTGTTCTTTTGAAGTGAAACATTTGATTTTGTTGATTAGGCCCCTTGCGCCCCTCTTCTCTACGGGCTGCAGCCCCCAGCTGGACGACAAGTCCTGTGCTACATTATAGCTGGGTTGTTGGTTATAGCCGTGTTGGTCTAAGGCAGGGGTTCCCAACGTTTGTGTCCAAGGGCACATTTGAATTTTGAAAGAAAAAGCAGCAGGCGCCAAAATGAATATTTAAAGTTTAGAATTTAGATCAATCTAATCATCTCACCCATTACTTAAAGTTGCATTAGATCCACAACCACAAAATGCAGCTTCCCTTTTCTTACAAAAAATATCTATGTAAAAAATATTTGTTGGAATAATGATTTTTACTGATCTTGAAAATGTGTGCGGACACCTGAATAAACTTTGTGGGGGGAACACCATGGCTCCCGTGGGCACCATGTTGAGAACCGCTGGTCTAAGGACATAGGTAGGCAAGGTTTTTTGGGTAGATGTGATATCTTTTATTGCTGCACTATAGTCACACTACTCCCCCAGGTTCCATATAGGTTCAGGTGGAGAGGATACAGCATTGCATGCTGAGTCTTGTTGTCCAGCCGGGAAGCCCATATCAGGGAGAAAAAATGGGAGTGTGATCCTTTGCCTCTCTCTTGTTAATTTACTCTATAAACACCTTTCAGGGGGTTCTGGAAACATCAGCATGCATACAGAAGGCCATTTTGCCTAGTGGTTAGATGTGGGCATCACAAAAGCTAGAATCTGTTTCTGGATTTACCCAGGAACAGATTGTGTTCCTAGTTTCTTGTGTAACTAAGTCCCTCAGACCCTCTGTGCCTCAGTTTCTTTATACCATGAAGATAAAGATATTTAGCTACTAAAAACACTTGCTCTTTCTTTGAGCTTTTGGATACATTGCTCCTTCATACACAACAAAACTGCTAGTCTTTAACTTTTGCTGGTCAAAAAATACAGTTCTCTGAAAACTAGACAGCCATATACAGCTTTGTGCATGTGTCATCTGCCTACAGGCTGCCTGTTGTAACCTTAATTTGCGCTCCTTGTTAGTGTGGATTAGATGCAGCCTTTAAGCGATCAAGTACTATTTTTTCCCCCTCCGCCCATGGGACCTGGCCACTACTCCCTGCACAGGAGGGTTGGTACAAGGTTAACAAGTTCCTATTAAATAACTTACCATGCTGCCCTGAGCCTTAGCCTACTGCACACATTACAGACTTTGCTTTGGTCTGCAGAGCATACAATTACTTTCCTTGTGGGTTCCTCTTGTCACCATGATGTCTAGGTGCTTCACAATCCTCTGGATTCATCTGTACACCACCCGCCCCCCCAAGAAAAGAGGGGTATTGTCTGCTTTTCACAGATGGAGAGCTGAGATGGAGATTGAGGTCAAGAGCATCTACCAGTCATGAGGACTCAGCTTGAGACACCCCAGATCTGACTTTTCAGAGTACTTAGTACGAGGTAGATCTTTATGTGCAGAGCTGTCATTGAGTTCAACTGCAGCTGGAAGTGCTCAGCACTGCTTCCCACCAGAACCTAGAGCAGTGATTCTCAGTACCCCTTGCTAGACTCACCCCTCAAGGAATGGCAGCTTTTGGTTTTTCACTCAGTTTTTTGACTACAGAAGAATAATAGAGCAGTTGTGTTGCAAAGAACTCGGAAAGCTGACAGCCAGCCAGAATGTTTTTAATGCTATGAATTCCTATGGGTAATCTTGTGAACCAGTTTTCACACACCTAACAGGGCCAGCATTGCATGGCACCCCGGGGCACCCTTGAAAAGATCTCAAGGCATCCTCAAGTGCGGTGGCACCCTGGTTGACAATCACTGACCTGGAATTCCAAGCTGAGCACCAGAAAATGAGACGTGCAATTAGTCACTCTGCAAGGCTCGGTCTAAGGGACATGCATAGTGTCCCATAGGACGGCTGTGGCAGAGGCAGGGCACCACTGCCTTTACTGTGAAATGATCTTCCTCATACATGCAGTCCCCTACCTTGCTCATTCCCTCCCTACCTTCCAACTGCTGCTACAAGGGAGGAAGGGGCCCTGTAGACATTGGCCTGCTTCCCCACACAGGCCTGATTTAACTGGA